GTGCAAGGTTTATGCGCATAGTCCAAATCTTCTTGGCAGAATTACAGCGCCACATGCTGGTCTGTTATGCATACTACATCGTTTTGTGTCGGTTTCGTGTGGACGCAGATATTTCTTGAGACGAGGAGAAAAAAAAGATTGGATAGGGAAAGCTCTGGCTTCGTGTGGACGTAGCCTAAATGCCGAGCGCGCCTCTCCTCAGGAGACCGGTCTCTTTCCCGTGCATGCACGCTGGTGTCCTCGTGGGTCCAGGAAGGGAGCGTTGAGGGATCTCCGTGCCACTGAAGTGACGAGTACCGCACCCTTGAGACGGCTGTCGGGCCAGGATGCCGGGCCGTTTAGTCTCCTGGAAGTGCCGTGGGCCAAGGAGGACGAAGCCACTAGATGAAGCCATCGCCCCTCGCGCCCCGGACCCGAGAGGGGAGTGCGTGCGGCCGCCGGATTCCATCCCTTACCTGGACCCTTCCTTCTCGAACACTGCCCCACCTTCACAAACCCCGCAACACGATGAGGACACCAGATCCCCTGTTTATTTTGGATACTTTATTCCCTTTTTCTGGACACTTTGTTTATTTTCTGTTAATAAAAGCCTCTCTGAGGCCTGACGCCACACCCACTGTGTCTGATGTTTGCTCCTCCCGCCACAGTGTGTGTTTGTACACGTGTGTGAAATGTGTGACTCTCACCTGCTTCCTGTGCAGATGGTTTGGACATTCTCCGCAGTGGCAAATGTGATGCATTCAATGGAGCTTCAACTAAAAATAGCCAAATACACAAATTATAAATAAGATTCATATGAAAAGTATTAAAGATATTTCTGCAATGGAACTAATAACACTAATGCTGTGTATGTGCTAAAATGTCCAACAAAAATCCAAAACAAACCAAAAAAAGTAAATAGCTTAGTGCACCTTTAAAGGGGTCATATGATGCGATTTCAAGTTTTCCTTTCTCTTTGGAGTGTTACAAGCTGTTCGTGCATAGATAAGATCCCTAAAGTTGCAAAGTCTAAAGTCTCAAACCCAAAGAGATATTCTTTATAAAAGTTAAGACTCGTCCACGCCCTCCTAAAACGCCTCGTTTACACACGCCCCCACATGTCTACGTCACGATGTGGGAAGATTTGCATAACGCCGCCCAAATGTTCACACAAAGAAAGA